ATTGTTGGTCTCTACAAAAAACAAAAAATTACCCAGGCACAGTGGCATGAGTCTGTGGTCCCAGCTACTCAGGAGGCTGAGGCAGGAGGATGATTTGAGTCTGGAAGTTGGAGGCTGCAGTGAGCTGAGACCGCACCACTGCACTCCAGCCTGCGCCACACAGCAAGATCTTATTTCAAAAAAAAAGTTTACTAAAGTGACTCCTGTTCACAACCACAACATAATAATAATAGCGACAACAATAGTAACAACACCCCCAAGCAATAATAGCATTTTTCCACTGCAGACAGTGGCGCTGAGGGTAAAAGGATAAGGTCATCAGGTGACAGCCCCTGCCTGGCACCCAAAGCGGGACGTTGGGCCCTGCCCTCGCGCTGCCACGGCAGGGACAGGGGAGCAGCCAGCAGAGCCTCCCTCTGGGGATGCCTGGAGGGCCCAGTGGGGGTGGAGCGCCCTGGGCCGCCCTCGGGCTCTGGAAGGGGCCGCGCGGCCTGGAAGACATTACACGGCTGTCGGACGGGGGGCGTCGCTTGGAGTTCCGGAGGGGGTCCTGGCGGCGGACGCGCCGGGTGAAGGGACCGCCCGGCCACAAAGCGCGCTTTGTTCTGCGCACCCCCTGGGAGCTGGAACCAATGGATTGGCGGCAGCTGAGGTCATCTGTCAGGCAGAGCCGGGGGTCAGGCCCCGGGAAGGGGCTGCGAGGGAGGGCGGCGCGCATGGGCCGGCGGGGGTGCGGATGGGGGGCCGGTTAACGAGGCCGCGTTCTCTGGGGGCTCTGCAGCAGGTCGCTGCGCTGCTTTAGGCCTCAGTTTACCCGTCTGTCCAACAGGGAAGATCATTTCTGTCCTGTCCACCTCTGGGGGCTACTGTGAGAATCTAAGTATATGAGCTGCAATAATGATGATGATGACGACGACGGAGAACGACAGCCTTCTCCTAATGCGCAGTCTCTACTTCCCGCACCACGGAAGTGCCAAGGCAGGGGCTGGACCAAATATGCTTTGTAGCCTATAGTGCGTGCCTGTATGCCAGGCGGGGATGGATGTTTCACCCGGGGAAGTCAGGGCCTCCCCCTGATTCCCTGCCTTGACCCTGGGTGCCAGGCTTGGTCTGCCTTCTCCAGGGCTGATAGGTGCAGTGGCCCAAGCCCGAGCCCAGGAACCCACTGGAGCCTGTCCTTGGTGCCCTTGGCTGGGACTGGAGTGACCCAGATAGGTGTTTTTTTTTTTTTTTCTGATTGGAGGTAGGTCAGGGTCTGAAGGCTCTCCTCTGCCCCCTACAAAACTACAGCCCCTTCATTCATCAATTCACTCATTCATTCATTCACACTGCCACCTGCCTGTGCCTCAGAGTTCCCATTCACGAGATAACTAGGTTTCTAAACACTTGGACCCTGCCCTTGCGCTGCCTCGGGGGCAGCCAGGAGAGCCTCTCTCTGAGGATGCCCCCTAATCTGGTTACCCATGGGGCTCAGCAGGGGTGGAGCGACCCCTGGGGAAGGAGACCATCAAGTACAGGGAGGCCCAGAAACTGCCCAAAACGTGTATTTTTGGCTTTCTTGTGTTCTCAACCACGTTCATGATCCCCCCAAAAGGCTAAGAAGTACTGGTTGGAGCCAGGCACAGTGGCTCATGCCTGTAATCCCAGCACTTTGGGAGGCTGAGGTGGGAGGATCACCTGAGATTGGGAGTTCAAGACCAGCCTGACCAACATGGAGAAACCCCGTCTCTACTAAAAATACAAAAAAAATTATCCAGGCATGGTGGTGCATGCCTGTAATCTCAGCTACTAGGGACGCTGAGGCAGGAGAATCACTTGAACTCGGCAGGCAGAGGTTTCGGTGAGCAGAGATGGCACTACTGCACTCCAGACTTGGCGACAAGAGCAAAACTCTGACTCAAAAAATAAATAAAAAAAAAAAAAATAAAAGAAGAAGTACTGGTTGGAGTGCAGGGGAAGCAAGTGGGCTCCCAAATTCCACTGGCGGCAGTGGCGCTTGGAACAGCCATTTTGGAGAGCAATTTGCCAGGGTCTTAGAAGATGGAAATGGGCATATGCATCAGCCAGGCAGCTCTGCTCCTGGGTTCACAGTTGAAAGAGCAAAGAGTGATGGCGGGGGGCATTCACAGCAGCAAATAACTGTAAGCCTCACACGTCCACGAACAGCAGCATGACTAACAAATAGCTACATTCACACCCTGGAACACCATGCAGCAGTGAAAAAGAATGAGCTAGACATACCTGGAATTTATTCATTTGACAGATATTTATTGAAAACTACTATCTTTTGGGCACTGTTCTTAGCACTGAGCCTACAGTGATAAACAAGACAGATTAGGTCTTGCCTTAAGAATGTACATTTGGCCAGGTGAGATGGTTCACACCTGTAATCCCAGCACTTTGGCAGGTTGAGATGGGAGGCTCAATTGAGGCCAGGAGTTGAAAATCACCCTGATCAACATTGTGAGACCCCATCTCTACAAAAGAATAATAAAAAAACTAGCTGGGCATGGTGACGCACACCAGCTATTCAGGAAGCTGAGTGGGAGAATTGCTTGAGCCCAGAAGTCGGAGGCTGCAGTGAGCCACAATGGTGCTACTGCATACTCCAGCCTGGGCAATAGAGCAAGATCCTGTCTTAAAACAAACAAACAAACAAAAAACAAACAGACACAGAAGAAAATTTGAGAAAGTGTGATAAATGCCATAAAGAAAATAAAACTGGATAAAAGGATAGATGATGGGGGAGGGGGCTGTTTTAGACACTACGGTTGGGGAAGTCCCTGAAGAAGTGGCATCTGGGCATGGACCAGAATGTGGGAGACTGGGAGAAAAGCACACAAATGAATGGGATGGACAGCTGGGGCACAGCGCCAAGGGAGAAAAGCAATCTGCAAAACAATGCAAAAAAGAAAACAGTCTTCACTTAAACACATACACATCATTATCAAGTTAGATAAGAGTCTCGAAGGGTAGAGGCCAAATCCATGAAGGTAACTGTCCCCAGAGGGCAGAGGAATAAGCAGGACTAGGACTTGCGGTGGGCTTCCACTTGCCTCTAATATTTTAAATTTCTAATATTTAATTATTTAACATTTTAATATTTTAATGTTTAAAAGGTAAATATGGCTGGATGCGGTGGTTCATGCCTGTAATACCAACACTTTGGGAGGCTGAGGTGGGAGGATCGCTTGAGGCCAGGAGTTCGAGACCAACCAGCCTAGGCAACAGAGGAAGACCTGGTCTCTATAAATATTAAAAAAAAAAAAAAAAAAAAAAAAAGCTGGGCGTGGTGGAGAGCCTGCAGTCCTAGCTACTCAGGAGGCTGAGGCAGGAGGATGGCTTGAGGCCAGGAGTTTGAGGTTGCAGTGAGCTATGATCAGGACACTGCACGCCAGCTTTGGCAACAGAGCAAAACTCTAAGACAAATAATTTTTAAAAGTAAATATACTTACACAAAACTTGTGAAATGGCTGGGCATGGTGGCTCACGCCTGTAATCCCAGCACTTTGGGAGGTCGAGGCAGATGGATCATCTGAGGCCAAGAGTTCGAGACCAGCCTGGCCAACATGGTGAAACCCCGTCTCTACTAAAACAACAACGATAACAACAACAACAAACCATTGTGAAATTAAAAAAAAAAAAAAAAGAAATTTAAATTTACCACGGTGAAGTAGGTGGGTTCCAGGGCAGTGAAGGCACATACTGCCTTTCACCGGAGCCAATTTCCTGAGGGCACAGGTTTGTCTCGGGAGGGACAGTGTAGGGTCATGGTAGCCCAGCCAGTAGAAGCCCAGAAGCTTCTTGGAGGACGTACCTCCATTGCTGAGCCTGAGATTCTCTGGCCCAGCACCCCAAGTATAGACAGGGGTGGGCAGACATGTGTGCAAGGTCGCAGAACAAGAGGAGGTAAGCAGAACCTGAACTCCAGACTGCCAGCTGAACCCGGATTAACTGATCCGTCTCTCAGCACGGAGCCTGCGTCCAGCCCCTTTCCACAGCGGTTGCTCTGCAGGCCAGATCTGCCGTGGGGGCAGGAGAGCAGCGCCACCTGCTGCTATAAGAGGGATACGCAACTCTCAGCGACCAACAGGTTACACTCTTTAAAACCCAGCTCCTCTTCCTTAAGTGACCAACCAATCCCCCCAACTGCGAATCTGTTCTGCACCTCCTTCCCAGTGCCTGGCAGGGCACTTAGCACTGCATGGTTGGGTCTTCTCTGCAAGAAGGGAAGATTGCTTCAGGAGAGGCCGATCATCTTCACTCTTATTCCAGCCCAGTGGGCATAGGAGGAGTTTACTCACATTAGACAGTGGCATCTCACCCTCGATACAAACCTTAGGGGAACACAATCCATTTGACAGCCTGGAGGAAGTTCCCAGGGAAGGGACAGAACTGCCCAAGGTCACACAGTTAATGAGTAGACAAGCTGGGGGGAATGAGTAGACTCATTCCACTGGGGATGGAAGTGGAGGGAGGTCACCATATTTGAGAATAACTGACGCAGTCTAAATAAGTAGCTCTTAGCATGTGCTCCCTGAACAGCAGTATCAGCATCATCTGGGAACTTGTTAGCAAAGCAAATTATCAGGCCCTGCCCCAGATCTCCTGAATCAGAAACTCTGGGGATCGGGTATGGTGGCCACACAATCCCAGCACTTTGGAAGGCCACACAATCCCATCACTTGTGCCCAGGAATTTAAGACCAGTCTAGAGAACGTGGCAAAACCTTGTCTCTACAAAAAAAATTAGAAGGGCACGGTGGCACATCTGTAGTCTCAGCTACTCAGGAGGCTGAGGTGGGAGGATCCCTTAAGCCCGGGAGGTCGAGGCTACAGTGAGCCATGATCTTGCCACTGCACTCCAGCCTGGGTGACAGGGCATGACCCTGTCTCAAAAAAAGAAAAGAAAAGAAAGTGGGGTAGAGCCCAGTAATCTGGGATTTAGCGAACAAGCTTGAGACCCTGAGCTGTTGGTCTAAAGGAATTGTACCCCCCCTTTTTAAAAAACTTTTATTTTGGAATATTAGATTTACAGAAAAGTTGTAGAGACAGTACAAACAGTTCCTGTATACCCTTCACCCAGCATACTGGAAGGTCCGCATCTTACTTCACCATGGTACATTTGGCAAAACCGAGACTGAAATTGATATATTAACTAAAATTCAGACTTGCTTCAAATTTCCAATTTTCCCACTAATGTCATTTTGATTCCAAGATCCAGTCCAGAATACCACACTGCATTGAGGACGCTCTCCCTTTTCAGTTCTGTTACTGCTCACCTCTGTCATCCTTCCCCTGGAAAGAGAGTGGGTGAGAAAAGCTGTTGTCCTTATTATTGAACTGGGGAAACTGAGGCTTAAAAGTGCCAAGTGACCAAGTTCCCTTAGAGGGCAGTGAGAACAAGGTCTGCCTTACTCTGTTCCCTTTCCCCGGAGACTCTTGGTTTTCAGAAGCCCCTCTGGAACATCGTAGCTGGCCTAACCCTGTACCACCAGTGCAGACAAGGAAGTACCCCTACTACAGAGGGTCCAGCCCTTGGAGAGACTCACTTCCTGCCCCAACACCTCTTCCCCTAGACCCTGAGGGACAATGTCTTAGTGCCTTCAAACTTGGCAGAGTGAGGCCCCATGAAACACAGAGAGAGAGAGAAAGGGAGAAGAGGGAAATACTTTTATTTGCCCATCCAAAATAATTTGTGATAGGTGAAAAATGGCCACAAGCTCCTTGTGGTTCCACTCATCAAGACATGGAGTGTTTCTCATCTGTTGAATCTGGGCAAAGCCTTGTGATTTGCTCTGACCAAAAGAACTTAGCAGTAGTGACATTGTCCTAGTCCCAGTTCCAGGCCAAGAACCCAAGAAGTCTTTCAGCTTCTACTCTCACTCCCTTGGAACCTTGAAGCCATCATGTGAATCAGCCTGAGCTAGCCTGCTGGAGAGGCCACATTGAGGAGAACCAAGCAACTCCAGCCAACAGCCTGTCACCTGCCAGGCAAGTGAGTAAGGCTATTGTAGATCATCCAGGCCCAGTTGAGGTAACAGCTGACATTAGCTCCATGAGGGACTCCTGGTGGGAGCAGCAGAACTGCCCAGCTGAGCCCAGCCCAAATTGCCAACCCACAGAATTGTGGGCAAATAAAGGATCTGTTTTTAGCTGCCAGGTTTGGGGATGGTTTGTTACACAGCAGAAGCTAACTGGTACACAAATCCACTTTTCTCTCATGGTAATGGGATCTCAGTTTTATTGCAGAAGGCAGAGTGCCAGTCTCAGTAGATGAAACATGACTGGTGTATTCAATCATGACAATTCTGTTCCCTGCTGTTTTAGCTTTCTCTGCAGCTAGAGGTGCAGTGGTAGCTGGCTCAAACCAAGGGCAGCTAAGTGAAAATATGCAGGAGGAGACAGCAAGAAACAGGCTTCTAACCAAGGTTTTACTTTCTGATAGAAGGTGACAGGTCTGGCCGGGTGTGGTGGCTCATGCCTGTAATCCCAACACTTTGGGAGGCCAAGGCAGGCAGTTCACAAGGTCAGGAAATTGAGACCATCCTGGCTAACATGGTGAAACCCTGTCTCTACTAAAAATACAAAAAATTAGCCAGGGATGGTGGCACATGCCTGTAATCCCACTACTCAGGAGGCTGAGAAGGGAGAGTAGCTTGAACCTGGGAGGTGGAGGTTGTAGTGAGCTGAGATTGCGCCACTGCGCTCCAGCCTGGGCAACAGAGTGAGACTCCGTCTCCAAAAAAAAAAAAAAAAAAAGGTGACAGGTCCAACTAGTTTGGCCCTTCCTCTTCCTCTACCCCTCCTTCCTTGAATCCACACATGATTCTTAGAGCTACAGCAGCTGTCTTGGGACCATGAAGGAACATGCACTGCGAGCAAGGCAGAGGATCCAAGATTGGGCCCTTATCATCATGGAGCTGCCGAACCAACCGTCAGCCACCCATCTCCAGAATCCATGCTATGTAGAAAATCCATCTTCTGCTTCTTTAAACCACTGCAACCAAGGTTTCCTTGCCTCGTAGCTGAATGCAGCCCATATGAGAGGTTCAATATGTCTATAATATGTCTTATATTTGTCTATACATATAGACAAAAATGCAGAGGGATCCTTGTCCTTGGGAATTTGGAGCTGGCAGCGTGTGGCTCCCCAAGCCCATTTCTGTTCTCATTTCACCCTCTCAGTAATGCTTCAAGGGTAAGGCCATGATCCTATTGTCACAGACGTGGGAACTGGGGCTCCAACACTGTACAATGAGTCCAAGGCCTTGCAGCTGGCGAGAGGGTGCCCAGAGTCAGACCCTCTCTCCAGGTTCAAAGGGAGTGTACCCCTGCTATCCCTTCTGCATGGCCCAGCCTGCTGGAGGCCAAGTGTGTCTTCTGGGCTCTTGAAGGTGGCAGCAGGTGCCAGGGAGGCTGCTACTGCAAGTCTGGTGTGGATGCCCCCAGGTACACCCTTAGGTCCGAGAGAGTGGACTGGACAAGCTTGGCAGGGATGGTCTCTCGCTGCAGCTGCTGGTAGGCCGCGTAGCGGTGGCAGCCGCCGAAGGAGTAGAAGTAGTCACCTCCCTGGGACCCTTTGATCCAGAGGACATCGATGGGGGGCACGCTGTCGGGGTCCTCCTGGGGAGAAGGGGCACAGAGTCAATGGACATTGTACAAGGCTTGAGAGTTTGCAAAGCAGACTTTGTCCCCCTGTGCTGAGCTCCTTACAAGGTGCTCACACTGGACTGAGAGACAGCTGTTAAATAGCAGGACTTTTGTGAGCTGGTCACCATCATCTTGTAGCTTGAAAATGAGCCATGGGAGAGTTTTACACCAGAGAAATGGACAGATGCTACAAATCAGGATTTCTCCCATCCAGACCCCAGGTTGTTAGACATGCATCAGTATACCATACGCGCACTCTCCATCGGCCCCTGGGAATACAGTACAGCTGGAATGAGACAGAATCAGGCCCTGCCTTCAGGGGGCTCCAGTCTAGTGAGAAAGATAGAACAAGAACTAAATATTAGAGTGACAAATGCTATGATAATAACACAGGCAACAGGACAGAGATGGGCTCCAAGAGCCCTCTCTGAGGTGAGAATGAAGCAGAGCACTTGGAAAGATAGAGAGGTGGGGCCAGGCGCTATGGCTCACGCCTGTAATCCCAGCACTTTTGAAGGCCAAGGCAGGCGGATCATTAGAGGTCAGAATTTCGAGACCAGCCTGGTCAAAATGGCAAAACCCTGTCTTTACTAAAAATACAAAAATTAGCTGGGTGTGGTTGTACATGCATGTTATCACAGCTACTTAGGAGGCTGAGGCAGGAGAATCACTTGAACCTGGGAGGCAGAGGCTGCAGTGAACTGAGATTGCACCACTGCACTGCAGCCTGGGCTAGCCAGAGTGAGACCCCATTTAAGGAAAAAAAAAAAAAAAAAAAAAGAAAGATAGAGAAGTGGAATAGTTCAATGAAGAGCCTGACTGCCCAGGTTCAAATCTAGTTCTGCTACTTAACAACTATGTGATCTTGGGCAGTTAACCTTTTTGTGCCTCAGTTGTGCCATCTGTCAAATGGGATGGAGATAACAGATGCATCCCATAGAGCTTTTGGGTTAAATGAGTTAATATATTTAAAGCACTTCAAACCATGCTTGGCACCCAGAAAGCGCTCAGTAATGTATGCTGTGTATGACCTGAGGGAAGAACATTCCACGCAGAGGGAACAGCAAATGCAAAGTGCCTAAGGCCACAGCAGGTTCACTGTGTAGGAGGCATGGCAAGGAGGCCAGCGTGACTACAGTGGACTCCAGGGCTCAAGCAATGGTCAGAAAGGCCAGTAGGAGCCAGATGGTGCATGTCTGCTTTTAAGAGCAGTAGGTGGGCCCTGGAGTGTTCGCAGCAGGGGAGGGTGACATGATCTGATGCACATTCTAGAAGGTTGTCACGGGAGAACAGACTTGGCAGGCTGGACAAGGGCACAAGGCGGAAGGCGGAGGGGAGGCTTCTGTGGGTGTTCAGCAGAAGATGCTGGTCTAGATGACGGTGTGGTGGGGACAAGGAGAGGTTTGGGACACATTTAGGGGGCAGATCCAAGGGATCTTGCGGAAGGGGTACATCCAAGGGCCAGAGAAAGAGAAGAATCTAATTTGACTTCCTACTAGGGGCCTGTGCAGCCAGGTGGAGAGTGGGTCATCCTCTAAGTGGGGAAAGACTGGGGCAGGACGGGTGCAGGGTGGAGTGCTCTGGGGAGACCCCATTAAGTGTTAGTTGCCTGAAAGGCCTCCTGCCGCTGGCCCACAGGTTCTCTCTCATGATTCCACAAATGATTATTCAGCAGTAAGGCACAGCAGTTGCAAGCCTGAGCTCTGGAACCCGGCACACCGGACTCTGGATCTCGGCTCCTGTCCACAGCAGCTGGGGCACCCAGGCCTCTGAACATTATTCCTTACCTGTAAACTGGGAATAAGTCACCTAGAGGGCTGCTGATGAAGAGTCAGTGAGCTGATGCCTATGGGGTGTTAGTGAAGCTCTAAGGAGGGCAGCTGTGCCAGGCAGGCCTTGTGCTGGGTACTGGAGGCATGAGGGTGATTGGTCAGAATGATGGCTCCCAAAGATGTCCAGGTCCGAATCCTTGTGCATGTGTTACCTTACATGGGAGAAGGGACTTGGCAGATGGAATTGAGGTAAGGATTGTGAGATGGGGAGATTATCCAGGGTTATCTAGCTGGCTCAAATGTCATTATCAGGGTCCTTACAACTGGAAGAGGAGGTCAGAGTGATGCGATGTGAGAAGGCCTGGCCTGATGTTGCTGGTTTTGCAGACGGAGGAAAAGGCCATGAGCCAAGCAGTGTGGGTAGCGTCTGGAAGCTGTGAAAGCCGAGGAAATGGATTCTCCCCTGGAGCCTACAGAAAGCAGTGCAGCCCTGCTTGATTTTAGCCCAGTAAGACCCATTTTGGACCTCTGACCATAAATAAATCTGTGTTGTTTTAAGCCATCGACTGTGGTAACTTACAGTGGCCCCGGAAAACCAATACAGGTGTATTAGTAAGCAAAGGCAGAGCTGGTTCTGGCCCTCAGAGCACACGGTTCCAGCACAGAAGGCAAGTGTCTCAACAGGACGTTAAAAGACAGTGGGCTATAATCCTAGCACTTTGGGAGGCCAAGGCGGGCAGGTCACTTGAGGTCTGGAGTTCAAGATCAGCCGGGCCAACATGGGGAAACCCCATCTCTACTAAAAATACAAAAATTAGCCGGGCGTGGTGGCGGACACCTGTAATCCCAGCTACTCCAGAGGCTGAGGTAGGAAAATCGCTTGAATCCGGGAGGCGGAGGTTGCAGTGAGCCGAGATTGCACCATTCCTCTACTCCAGCCTGGGTGACAGAGCGAGACATTAAAAAAAAAAAAAAGGGAGTTATGCTGGTGGGCACACAGGTGGCTGCATGCCCACAGAAGCCCCTAACCTGGTAGGGATGGTCAGGGAAGATCTTGATATTGAGACAGGAAGACCAAGGAAGAGTCAGAAACAACAAGGAAGAGATAGAAGAGATATCTCTCCTATCTCAACAGGAGAAAAAACCCAGTGGTGGACAGGGCATGCATGGCAGATCCCTTCCCATCTCAGATAGCCAGGTACTGTGCTACTGCTGTGGGACGAGGTCCTCACCCTTGTGGAGCTCATAGGAGCTCGGGAAAACAGAATATGAAATGCAACACAAATAAATGTATAATATTTCTGGGGGACATAAGTGGTATTCTGAAACACATCTCAGGCTAAAGGGAGAGCTAGAGAGGTCAGGGACCCTGACCAACGGTGATCAAGGAGGCCGAGAGCTGAAGCAGGCAGGGGAGCAGGCCTTGTGTTTGTCTGGGGACGTGGCTCCAGGCAGTGAGGACAGTAGTATAAACACTAGGACTGAAACGGGTGGCTGTAGTGGTGCTGGGTGGGGCTTAGGGATCTCATGTGCTCACCTTCTGAGCGTCTGGGGGAAGGGGACGCAATGTCACACAGGGCTAACCTGACACCTGTTCCTGCAGCGCCCCCCACCCAAGTTCCTGCCAGAGTCACTCCAGCATTCTCGAACACTCTCCCTCAGTGGTGGAGCTGACCCTTGACCTCCCTCACTTCCCATTCAGACAAGGCCCTCCCAGCAGATAGGACACATCCAGTCCACTGTCACTGACTGTCATGGCCATGAGACCCCATGGCTTATCTCTGGGCAGTGGGGCCCAGCTGTCTGGGTGTGACTTCCAGCTGTGGTCACTTTTTAAGCACCTGATCTTGGTCAAGGCGCTGAAATCTTCCCTTGCCTCCGTTTCTCGTCTGCAAAAGAGACACTATCTACCTCATAGGGTTGGCATAGGAAATTAAGGGACTTCCTGCAGCTCCTGGGCCACTGCAAGCACTAGCGTTATAAGCGTTATCACCACTACTTTAATTATCTCATCCAATTTCCTCCTTGCTCAAGTGAGGAAACAGAGGTACAGAGAGGCCCAACCACTTGCTCAAGGTCACACAGCAGATGCTAAGCTCCGGCTGAGCCCGGAACCAGTCCATTTCGTGTCCATCGCGGCGACCTCCCTCCTCCGGAGCCCTCCCTCCAGCTGGCCGGCCTCCCCGGGGCCTCACCCGGATCGTGTCCACGAGGCTCTGCACCTTGGCGTGGTCCAGCACGGACGGCAGCGGCCGGATGAGCACGCTCAGTGGCACGTTGTGCACCGCGGAGATGCAGCCCGAGTGGATGCTGCCGCCCTGCGCGCCGCCGCTCGGCCCGGGCCCCTCGGGCGCCCCCCGACCCGCGCCGGCCCTGCCCAGCGTTCCTCCCGCACGCAGCCCCATCGTCGCCGCCAACGTCGTAGCCGCCGCCGCGGGACGCGCAGCCTCCCGGGCTTTAACTCCGGCCGGTCCGTACCATTCCGCGCAGCCGGGGGGGGGGGGGGGGGGGGGGGCGCCGGGTCAGGGCAGCGCGCGTTTCTCCCCCGGCGCCACTGTGGTCCAGCCTCCACCCAGCGGTCCCCAACCCGACTCCGGCTCCGCTCGCTGCGTGCTGCCGAACTCGCGCGGGGTTCTGGCTCTCCACCTGGGGGCGCTTTCCGCCTCCCCTCCGCCGCGCGGCGTCCGGGGAGTGGGAGCGCCCGGGCTGGCTGACTCAGGGTGAGTTTGCAGGTCGCGAGGCGGGAGGGGCGCGGGTGACGCACCGGCCGGGGTGACTTAGGCCGCGGGGGCGGGGGCGGAGAGCGCGGCGGACCTGCCCAGCCAGGATGAGTCGGCAAAGCCCGCAGTGCGCCGCCGCCCCGCTGCTAGGGCTCCTAGCCAGCGAGGTGATCATCCCCACAACGGTTCCACTCCCAAGCTGGTGCTGGCTGTGTCTGGAGCCTTTCTGAACGCTTTGCTGGTATATTAACTTATTTAAACCGCAAAACAACCCTCCAAGGAAGGTATGATTGTTATTCCCATTTTACAGAAGAGGAGATTGAGACACAGAGGTTTAAGTGATTTACCCAAGGCAATGGAGCTAGTAAGTGGCCGAATCCGCGTTCAAATCCAGACACTCTGGCCCAAGAGTCCGCTCTTTACCCTACCGCTGGCTGCCTTGGTGCAACAGGGACTTCACACGGAGCCCTCAGGAGGCGCGCTATATGTGGACCCTGCCTTCAAGTTCCACACTGTTTGTATCATTACAGCACTACTAGGAAGTAGCTGCAGTTCTAGACCCGCTTGTCCAAGGTCAGCTGGAATGAAAGTCAGGTCATAAGAGTCCAAACCATGGGACCACTTAACCACCACTCCAAGCAGGAAGGTAGGGGATCCCAGGCTCGGCTGAAGACAAGCGTGTCTGGTTTGCTTGTCTTCCTTCTTACCCTGGATGGCACGAACATGGAGGAATGCATACTTACCCTGCTAGCTGGAGAAAATTCGAGATGGAGGAGGGGCGGCCAGGGGTTTCTACTTTGCCTTGCGTCGGTTGTTGACACTTTCTGAACCCCATCTGTAGAATGAAGTAATGCTGCCCATCACTCAAAGTTGTGTGAATTGAGAGTGCTCATAGTGCTCTGTGAATTGAGAGTGCTCATAGTGCTCTGTGAATTGCATAACATCCATTTTGCTGTTGAAGATCATTTATTTTGGGTTCTTAGTCTCTCACAAAACCTTAATCTCACAAAATCTTAGTCTCTCAGAAAACACCGAGACCAAGTCTTGAACCTTTCCCTTTGGAAACATAATTCCCGTAAGCACCTAAGGGATACTTTGTTTCAAGCAGTAGAACTGACACCCACACCTCTGCACTGGCTCTCCAAAAAAAATTTGGGCGCGATGGCTTACGCCTGTAATCCGAGCACTTTGGGAAGTTGAGGTGGATGGATTGTCTGAGGTCAGGAGTTCGAGACCAGTCTGGCCAACATGGTAAAACCCCATCTCTACTAAAAATACAAAAAAATTAGCGGGGCATGGTGGCCTGTGCCTGTAATCCCAACTGCTCAGGAGGCTGAGGGAGGGGAACTGCTTGAACCAGGGATATGGAGGTTGCAGCAAACCAAGATTGCACCACTGCACTCCAGCCTGGGCGACAGAATGAGACTCTGTCTCAAAAAAAAAGAATTAGAGAATTTCATCAAGAGGGAAGTTATCCCTTCTATAACATCTTCCTCATTACGGGAGGTAAGAATGGCAGGATAACAGTTTCTAGAATGGAAAAGTAGAGATCTGGCCTGATTCTCTCACCATGGTGTGCCCTGGGGAGGCCTCATCTCCTGGCATCAAATTCTGTGTGTTAAGATATCTATGGCCCAATTCAAAATGGCTTAAGCAATAAGAATGTTTGTTTTCTCATATAAGATGTTTGGAGGTAGGCATGTCCAAGGTTGGTAAAGAGGCAGTTGAACAATGTGATCAAAAACCCCGATTCTGTCTGGGCCTGATGATTCACACCTGTAATCTTAGCACTTTGGAAGGCGGAGGCAGGCGAATTACTTGAGGCCAGGAGTTCAATACCAGCCTGGCCAACATAGTGGAACCCTGTCTCTACCAAAAGTACAAAAATTAGCCAGGCATGGTGGCATGTACATGTAGTCCTAGTTATTCCAGAAGCAGGAGAATTGCTTAAAACTGAGAGGTGGATGTTGCAGTGAGCTGAGATCCCATCACTGCACTCCAGCCTGAGCAACACAGTGAGACGCCGTCTTGGGAAAGAAAAAAAAAAGATTCTGGTTCTGTCTATCCTTTTGTGCCATCATCCTCAGTGTTCTGTTATCCTGGGGAATGCCCCTCATGGTCGCAAGATGGCTGCTGTAGCTCAAAGCATCACATCACTACATGCGAAGGTCCAAAAGAGAAAGTTAGGACATCCCTTTGAGCCTCTTTTTAAGTGTGAAGAAAACTTTCCTGGCTGGATGCAGTGGCTCGCACCTTCTGACCTTACACTCCTTGAGCCCTGAAGTCCACTGTAGTCACACTGGCCTCCTTGCTGTGCCTACTCCACAGCGAATGTGTCCTGGTCTCAGGCCCTTTGCATTTACTGTTCCCTCTGCATGGAACACCCTTCTCTCAGGTCACATACAGCATACATTACTGAGTGCTTTCCACATGCTCAGCATGGTTTGATGCACTCTACATACATTAACTCATCAAACCCAACAGCTCTATGAGATGAGTCTGTTATCTCCATCCCCATTTGGTTGATGGGGCATGCCTGTGGGAGCTCTGCCCATACATAAGCACATTCTGGAGGTGCCAGGCCATTCACTAATGGGGGCAGGAGCTGGCAAGTAAATGCCAGTCTTTCAGAGAGATGCTCTAGACGATTCAGATCTTTCTGGACCCTTCTCAGAGACCAGAAGTACTCAGCCCTATTGCTACAACTGACTTCACTAACACACCCTCTGTCCCATTCCTCCCACCCCTCACTTCTGCTTCCAGGGATCACCATCCACATAAACAACTTTCACTCAAGTCTCAGACTTGCTATCAGGGAACGAAGACAAAAACAAAAGGGAAACTTGATACTGGGTCATCCCCTATAGTTCTGTACCTCGCCTGGGCTATTTTATTAGATGTGTGACCTTGGGCCAGTCCCCTGTCTGTGCCTGTTTCCTAATCTGCAAAATGGACATAATGCCACCTAATTCACAGGGATGCTGGAAGAATGAAGAGAGCCGATATTAGGTGAAGTCCTTAGAACCGTGCACAACACATTATAGGTGCTCAATAAATGTTTGCTGTTTGATTGGACTTTAAATTATAATAGGGCTTGAAGGTCTCTCTGTGTCTTCACTTTCAGACTAGTCTTGATGTATTAGTCAAGTCTTTTGTTTACCAGTGACAGAAAGCCAATGTGAATTAGCTTAATGAAAATGGGGATGCTTGGCTATTCCCTTGACCAAGGTGAAGCCAGGCCTCAGGGGAAAGTAGGTTGAGAGATTTCTTTTCTCTGCCCCTCACTCAGCAGAGGGATTATCTCTACATGTCAGGAACATGGCTGTCTATAGCGATTGATATTTGGCTTTAAATAAGGGAAGCCTGACAAGAGAGACTTAATACAACTTAAAATGTTTCTTCCATTGAAAAATAAAAAGTCTGGCTGTGTGTAGTGGCTCACCCCTGTAATCCCAGCACTTTGGGAGGCCGAGGCGGGCAGATCACCTGAGGTTGGGAGTTCAAGACCAGCCTGACCAACATGGAGAAATCCCATCTCTACTAAAGACACAAAATTAGCTGGGCATGGTGGTGCCTGCCTGTAGTCCCAGCTACTCGGGAGGCTGAGGCAGGAGAATTGTGTGAACCCTGGAGGCAGAGGTTGTGGTGAGCCAAGATTGCACCATTGCAGTACAGCCTTGTCAACAATGCTTGAGATGGAGTGAAATTCCATCTCAAAAAAGAAAAAAAAAAAAAAAAAAGGGCTAGAGGCAGGAAGTCCATGGCTGGGATGACTGCTCCATGATACTTAGTGGCATAGGTCCTTTCTATCTTTCTGCTGTAATTTTAGAGCAGAGTGTTCATTCTCAGGGTCACCTCCTATTCAAGATTGCTGCTGAAGTGCAAGCCATCTCATCCAAATTCCAGCCTGGAAAGAGGTGGAGAAAGGGAAAGGCAAAGGATAGGACAGTTCCCTTTTATAGGATGCTATCTCAGAAGTTTTGTATATTACTTCTCCTTGCATGTCATTGACTGGAAATTGGTCATGTGGCCAACCCTGGCTGCAAGGGTAGCTGGTTATTTTGTCTTCATTCATCATGGCAATGTGCTCAGCTAAAATTGGAGTTCTCTTCCTAAGGAAGAATAGAGATTGATAAGTAGCTGGCAATTGGAGCCATAGCTCTCCAGTTATAGGCCGTGTGGCACAGAGAGTGGGAGAGAGAGAAAATTTCCAAGTTCCAGTCAGATGCCCACATATGAACAAACAAGCTGTGGCCTTGGGGGACAGAGAATTTTTTAAAAGCATAAGCCACCATTATTTATTATAATGACTTAAAGGTATGGAATTAATTTAAAGATAATTACTGGTCACCTGCTATTGGCTAGGCTAGACCCAGTGGATTTTGTGATGAGCAAAAAAGACACTGCCAATCTCTGCCTTGTGAAGCTTACAGTGTAGTGGAGGATTCAGACAATGACCAAACAGTCACGTGGGTTAATGGAAAGTAAACATTGATGGTAGGTGCTGCAAAAGAATGGCATGTGGTTCTGAGGATGTGTCTTAGTCATTTTGGGCTAAGTTGGGCTAAGGTATTGCTCTACCACAGCAATACCATAGACTGGGTGGCTTATAAACAACAGAAATTTATTTCTCACAGTTTTGGGGGCAGAGAAATCCAAGATTAAGATGACTTTGTATCTCCCCAACATTCATATGCTGAAATCCCAACCTCCAGGTGATGGCATTGGGAGGTGGGCCTTTGGGAAGTGATTATGTCATGGGGCAGAGCCCTCATGAGTGAGATTAGTGTCTTTTTTTTCTTTCTTAGAGACAGGGTCTCACTTTGTTACTCAGGCTGGAGTGCAGTGGAAATGTAAGGAAAACTTCAAATTTTTTAAAAAATCAGGAA